CCAAAAGAATTGAAAGCAGAGTCTCAAAGACACATTTGTACACACAGGTTTATGGCACTCGCAGTAGCTAAAACTTGGAAGCAACCCAAGTGTCCATTGATGGGTGAATGGATAAACAAAATGTGTTTTATATATACAACAGAATATTATTCAGCCTTGAAAAGGAAAGAAATTCTTACACAGGCTACAACGTGGATGAATTTTGAGGACATGCTGCTGAGTAACAGAAGCCAGTCACGGAAAGACAAATACTGTATGATGCTGCTTATATGAGGTATCATGCTTATGTAGTAAAATTTATAGAAACAAAAAGCGGACTGGTGGTTGCCAGGGACTCGGGAAGGGAATGAGTTGTTGAATAGGTATGGAGTTTCGAGTTTACAGGATGCAGAGTTCTGGAGATTAGCATTACATCAGTGTATGTGTACCTAACACCACTAAATGGTATGCTTTAAAATGATTAAGGTGGTAAATTTTATGTATATTGTACCACAACTTAAACAAAAAACAAAAGAAGAGCAGGGTTGCTGGATACAAAAATCTATCTGTAAAATAACTAGAAACAAATAAGAGCGCTGCATAAATTCTTTATGGAAAAGAATTTATAACTTTATTGAAAGACATTGAAGAAGGCTTAAATGCATGAGATGAACACATGCATGAAAGGACTGTTTATTATTTGAAGATGGCATTTCTTTCCAAAACTACCTATAGATTTGATGAGTTCCCATCAAAATCCCAACAGGGTTTTTTTTGTGGTAAACAACAAACTGTTTTTAAAATATAAGTGGAAGTGTAAAGGGTCAAGAATAATGAGGACTCTCCTAAAGAAGCAGGTAAGTTTGGGGCACTGATGCTACCTGCAAAGATAAGAGGAAGCTACAGCGATTAAATCATGTGATACTGGCACAGGGACAGAAAAAGAATATCTATTAGGAAAAGGATAGAATCTTTATTAAAAGATCCTGAGACAATTGATTATCCATATGGAATAAAACTGGATTCTTTCCCCATACCTACCAAACAAATCAGTTCTAAATAGATCGAAACTGAAATATGAGAGATACAAACTATAACACTTTAGAAGATAATGAGGGAGAATATCTTTTTGATTTACTTCAGAGAGGGAAACAGTTCTTAAGATACAAAATATAAAGGACATGATTAATAAATTGAGACTAACATTATATGTAAAAGCGACTGTTCATCAGAAACAAAAGAGTAACAAACAAACTTTAAATAGTAGGAGCTGTTCACAAGTCATAACTTCCGTAGGGTTAAAATACAAAAAACGTAAAGAACTCTTACAAATCAATAAGAGAAAGGCATTCTAGTGTGACCCACGCCAAAGCCAGGAAAAGATATTTCACAGATGAAAAAACACTAATGGCCCATAAACATAGGAAAAAATGCCCAGCCTTCTTAGTAATCAGCGAATCGTAAGTTAAAACCACAATACTATTTATCACCCACCAAATTGGCAAATGTTAAAATGTTGAACAATAACCAGGGTTGGCCAGAATGTGGACAGTCGGCAAGTCTCTCACACAGCTGAGTGAAAACCAGCTGGCAGTGCCTAGTAACATTGAATGTGTGTAACTTATGACCCAGTAATTCCACTCTTAGGAAATTCTTACACGTGGCCACCAAGAAAGTTCATAGCAGCATTCTGAACGAGGGAAAGAAATAGAAACCCAAACATTCATTAGCATGGACTGGATGTACAAATTACGATGTAATTAAGTAATGAGATACAATCAAGCAGTGAAAAATCGAATGAATTATAGTTACATGCATCAACATGTATGAATTGTTACAACTTTCAGTGAAAGAAGCAAGTTGCAGAAAAAATATAAGTTTTAAACGTACCAAGTGATTTATATTATTTATGCCATAATTGCTAAAATAAGGAAGTGGTTAGTACAAAATCCAGGACACATTACGAGGAGAACAGATGTGGGAGTGGACAGTATTAGATAAGGGCCCACACTGAGGCTTCAAAATGTTCTGTTTCTCATGCAGAATAGTGGGTAGGTGGTATATATTTTATAACTTTTTAAACTGTACATATATTTTTATATACTCTTTGATATATTCTTAAAAAATTGTAACCTGTAATATTCTTAAGAGACGGTAAGAAATATTTTGAAGTTAAGTGAAGTAGATTAACATATTGAAAATGCACAAAAATTGAAAATTATCGCCTACGAGTGTTTGGAGGAGTTGTAACTCTCTAGAGTAAGGCTTCTGCAGGTGTCAGTTTCAGAGCTGGAGTGAGGGGAGAGATACTGAAATGGCAAGGAGCATCTCTGGCATCGGAGCTTAAACGAAGTGTGGGAGACCCCAGGCCCTAGGCTTGACTGCTTTTTGTCCTCTCTTCTTCACGTCCATATATATTTAGTGACCGACTGCCAGATCCTGGGCATCGTCCCAGGGCCCAGGTAGCCAGAAAGGTAATGTCCCTGTCCCCATCTCGGCTCTCAACAGCAGTTTTCAAGCTCTCGATTACAGCCTTTGTTACTCTTGCCTCCTAAACTGACTCTGCATCGAAATTCACTTCAGGTCTATATCATAATCCACCCTTTGAGATCGTTTTGAGAAAATAATTTATTTGCATATTTAGGCAACCTAATTGAATACCTACCTATCTTTTAAAGTTTTTGGTTTGGTCCTAGCCCTTCCTTAATATTCAAATTTCTTTGTATATTTATTACTAATTTTTCCCTTCCCATCATACGTATCAAGCCTCTTTTGATGTACTCTAAGTATTTGGAATTGACTTTGATGTATTGATTTTATCTTTATAGTTATATTATTGAGACTTGAAATTGGATCTAGTCTTAAACCTGGACTTCAAGCAGTGTTTTCAAAAGCACAGCAAGCATATTGTTAGCGAATATTAGGTGGTGCAAAGGGAAATGTTTGTTATTTTAACAGTTATATCGTTATTTTAATGTTTATTAGAAAATATACACATGGAACCTGTGATTTCATGGCTGTTATTACTCAGGGTGCAGCTAAAGTAGTCTATGATAATCTGTCTCACATAGACTGCATGAATTAATGGCCCAGGCGGTTGTTAGATATAGCAAAAAAAAAATCACGAAGTTAATACATGGGTGACAGATGTTGTGTTTAGTCGTAAAGGCGAATTAAGATATTCTCTGATGTCCTCTACTTGTATCATAACTCAAAAAATATCAAGCATATGGGGTTTGGTCAGGAGAAAGCAGTCTAGAAAATTCATCTAGGCAGATAATTTGTTCATCTAACATATTCCATTGTAGGACAGGTTCTGGAAATACACAGATGAATAAAATGTAGATCCTACCCTTCAAGAACACCAGTCTAAGGGAGATAGGCACCTAAATTGAAAAGTGCAGTGTAGCGTGGAAAGTGTAACAGTGGAAATATAAACATGGTAAGTGGGTCGCTTGGAAAGGCGGGCTTTGACCTGTGAGGTAAGTCTCCACGGAGGAAGGGAGACTTGCGACCAGTCTTGAGAGACGAGCAGAAGATAGAGAGCTGAGAGAACACAGTGTGTTGCGTTAACTGAGCAGCTTGTCATTTGTGTGGTGGGAGGTGAAGGGTGAGGAGAGAGGAAGGAGCCAGATATGAAAGCTGTGGAACATGATGGCGTTTGTTTAGATCTTATTCTATAAATGATAATCAGCCTTTGAAAAATGTAAAGCAGAAGACTGACCTGTCTGGGGGGCAGGGCAGATGATGGATTAGAGGAGGAAGAATCAGAGCCATATTAGTCATTGGGCAAAGGGGCAATGGAGACTAGTTGGGGAAGTTCAGAATTTCTGCTTTGTTTAGTTTCATGTGATTTTCAGGAAATTAGATTACATTTAGACTTTTCCCAGAATTTAATGTGTTGTAGGGGATAGTGGTTGATGATTTGGAGCCAATATAAGACGTTTCTGAAGAAATTGGTATTATTTAGTCTTTATTATAAATAAGGTATTAACTAACTTTGCCTATATAGTCTTAAAAGCAAACAGGTTTTTGCTTATTGTTAAAATATATGCAAGCAGCATATAAAAGTTAAGTGTATACATGGTATCGATGAGGTACACAGCTGCAAACAAGTTCTGTTTTCCAATTACAGTGGTATATATGGTAATATACTACAGGAGCAGTAGAATGAAATATTTAAACTTTTTTTGCAGTTAATATCCTGCCAAGAAAATCTCAGACGACAGTATTATTTTAAAGGGAATTGAGTGGACAACAAAATCAGTATCCTATAAAGAGCCCCTTTTACATCGTGAATGTTCTATGTAACTTAATTGTGGCATAGTGTTTACCTTCGTATGTATTTGCTATTAAGTCTTAAACGCGGTAGTCTTTAGGTTTGGCATGTATCATTCTACCTTCCAGAGAAATGTGTTAGTGTGCCAACTTGTTTTTGTGCTTTCAGCATGCCATAACTAGAGTCACGGGTGTGATACCGACTGCCTGTGTGTGTGAGTGCACTCATTTGTATCTGTGTCCATAGCTAGACCCTTAATACCAAATGTTCTGTCTCCCATTTATTTTGGGAACATTCTCTTAACATGCACATTTTGGCATGCGGCTTAGCTAATTTGTTAACATTCAAAGTCATAAGCTCTCAGCATTATCTTAGCCTTTTAGTATTTTAGCCCCCCAAAATTCCTGACTTTGACTAGGGATTTAACTATAATATCTCACCAAAAATGATCCAGAAGCATCAAGGAGTTTATGTAAAGTCACATAGAGATGTTCAAAAGGAAAATTCACATTAACTTGATAATGTGACTGCGTTCAGAGTTGAGAGAGTAAGCACAGAAATGAAGGGAACCACACATGACCTTGGGACCTTTCTGCAGGACCCGTTAATGTTGATTGTAATGAAACTTAGTTTGGATTTGAGAAGATGTAGTCTGCAGTTCTTGTCACCAAGTTATTTTGAAATTCTTTTTCATTCTTTGGAAATGTAACTTCTTATTTCCTTATTTTCTACTTTGACACAGAAATCCCCTGCAAAGAAGCTGAGCCATGCAATTAGTAAATCTTTGGGGTGTGTACCCACCAGAGAACCCCCGCATCCTGTTTTTCCCGAGCAACCAGAGAAACCACTTGACCTTGCAAATATAGTGTAAGTATATACCTGGATATGGATGTGAATGAGACTGAAATGGAGACCTTGCTAAATTCTTTTGGATCAAAACCAAGTATCACCTAGCATGAACATTTAACTTTCTGATTTTTACTTTACTTTTGGGAAACTTAGACTTCAAACTTTCATCTCTTTAAATCACCATAAATGTCTCCATGGAATCCTAGCTCCTGAGCCCCAAAGTCTAAGGAATATATAGCAGTCTCCAACAGAAGCATTAATCCATTGAAGAGTGATTGTGATGGATTTAGCAAGGTTGCCTTTTGTTGTGTGTGTGTTCTTCCCTTCAATCAGTGGTAGCGATCATTTTTCCTCTACAGAAGTAATGCCCATAGAGATTTTAAAAATAGTTTAGACAATATGGAAATGAAAATCAACCTGATATGCTCTTTGTGTTGAAAGGAAATTAGGAAACATAAGGCTATTTAGAAACAAAACTAGTATTTTATACACACACACACACGCACACACACATTTTAGTTGACTATCCATGCTAGAAAGCTAGGAGGACCAAAAAAGTTAGAGAAATAGAGAAAGAAGGAAAGTGAGGAGGAGAAACAAGGAATAATAAGATTTTAGCCTCTGTTCCGTCTCTTCACTCTGAATTAAATGATGATATTAAGTTTACTCTGCTGGATACAGTCGGTAGGTTTTTGATCATTAGTCTCTATCAAGTGTTTAAAAGTTTTTCTTTTGGAGTGGACATTCATTTTCTTTTACCAACCTGGTGGTAGGTGTTTTGACTAAACGATCTCTTAGCTTTCTTGATCTTTCTTTTTTTTCATTTAATTATTTTGAAAACGTTTATATTTATTAAAATTATACAAGACGTGTGGATTAAAAATCCAGTGATACAGAAGAGCTTAAAATGAAGCACAGCACATCCTCCTTTACTTCACTGTATTTTGTCTGGATTTTAGATCTACTAGTGTATCTCTGAATAATATATTTAGAGCACCATTTATGGACTTACCAGTTTTGGAAATTATTGAATAATTCCGTTTGTGGTATAAGGAACCCACCTTATTTATAACTACATGTCAACCCATCCCAGTTTTTCATAATTATGTCACCATTTTTAAGTTAGTTACCTGTCATTTTAAATAATATTCTTAAACTTCTATTTCTTATAATGTCTTCTCATTTCCACTGTGTAAAATGAGAAAATCAGTACCTTCTACTTCTTCCTTCTCCTTTTTCCTCCTAACTTCTGTCATCTCTCCCATTACTTTTATATTATCAAAACTGGTAATATTCCTCTTCCCTTCTGTGATAATAACTCAATCTTCTGAGATTTCGTAAGGGTTGCGTCTAAAAGTTGCAACCAGATAACGGCATTTCCAGTCAACGCCATTGGTTACACAGTCTGTGTGCTGCGACTGTCTCCGTGTGGCTCCAGTGTCGTGATCCCTGTGCCCTTCTTCTCTCATCAGAGTTCAGTGGGAACTTTTCTTACACGTCATCGATTGCTCAAAACCAAACCTGTTGACCTTATAACTGGATTGACTTCTGACTGTTGTTTTCTTTTCAGTTTCCCATTACTTTCTTCGAAAAAAAGTCCCCGTCTGCCCCAACATTGTAGTGTTTGTGTGTGTGTGTGTCATTCTCTCTCTCTTTTTTTTTTTTACCCCTTTAAAGTTCTGAAGATGTCCCTTTCACATATGTCTTTAATTCATCTGGAGTGGATTTTTGTGTATGGTGTGGTATAGAATATGCAATTCTCTTTCTTCCTTTGCATTTGAATAATAACTTTTCTCAGAGCCATTTATTGGATAATCCATCATTTCCCCGCTGACCTCCAATGCCACCGTTGTCATAAATGAAGTTTCTAGATGATACGTGGTCTGGTTTCGGGGCTCTTTATTCTCTTCCTTTGGTTGAATTGTCTATCCCTATGCCAGCATCACACTATCTTATGATAAGGGATTAAGTAATCTTTTTAAAGAGTATCTTGTCTTTTCTTTGCTATTTTATGTAAATTTTAGAATCGGCTTATTGAGTTCCTCATAAAATTTTGTTGGATTTTGATTGGCCATTCATTGAATCTAAATATCAGATTGAGGAGAATTGACATCTTTATAATATTAAGTCTTTCATTCCATGAATGTGTTATATCTTTCCATTTATTTAAATATTTTTTATGCCCTTCAATAAATCTTTGTAATTTTTCCTAGAATGCTCTTATATATGTTAGATTAATTCTTGTGTACTTTTTTATGTGTTTTTGCTGTTACAAATGGTACCTTTTTTTGTACAATTTTTTTGAGGTATAATTTATTTGTAATAAAATGCACTCACTTTAAGTGTACAATTCGGTGAGTTTTGGCAAGTGTATACAGTTGTGCAAATGGTATCTTTTTTGAATTATGTGTCTTAACAGTTTGTTGCTGGTGTATGGAAATGCAAACTGGTTTTGTATTTTAATCCACTATCTGGTCATCTTGCTTAACTTGCTCGTTAATTCTAGTAATTTCTACTCAGATTCTCTTAGATTTTCTATAAATAATTATATCACCTGCAACTAGAGATAGCTTTGTTTCCTCCCTCCCACTCTTTATGCTTTTAAGCATTAATCACGTATTTTTTTCCCTTTGGTCTTATTATGCTGGCTAGAAACTCCAGTGCAATATTGAACAGAAGTGGTTTACTTGGCATTCTTGTGTTATTACTAATCCCAAAGAGAGTGCTTTCAGCATTCATTTAGTATGGTATTTGATGTAGTCTTTGTAGAAACTGTTTATCAGGTAAAAGATGTTTCCTTTTATTATTAGTTTGCTAAGAGTGCTTTCTTTTTGTCATGAGTGGTTGTCAAATTTTATCAGACTTTTTCTGCATTAATTAAGATGATCGTATGAGTGTATTCTATTAAAATGCAGTGCATTACATTGTATTTTTAAACAACCCTGCATTCTTAGAATAAATATAAATTGACTCTCCTTTTAATACACTGGTAGATTTCATTTCCTAATATTTTGTTTAGATTTTGCCTACGTTTATGAATTTTGTTGTCCTGTAATTTCTCTTGGCTTTTTGGTTTTGTTTTGTTTTGTCTTATTTTTAGGACAAAGTTTGCCCAATTTGCTGTCTTCAAAAAGTTAGGAGCATTGTCTCTTTTTTATATTTTTGGGAAGAACTTGTTTAAGATTGAAATTATTTGCTCCTTAAATTTTTGGTAAAACTCACCAATGAAGCTGTCTGTGCCTAAAGCCTTCTTTTTGGGAAGATTCTTATTTTTTCTATTTTTATTTATTTATTAACGCCTGTAGTACCTGGTATTCCTAGGTGGTCTCCCATCCAAGTACTAACCAGGCCCAACCCTGCTTAGCTTCCAAGATCAGACAAGATCGGGCACGTTCAGGGCGGCATGGCTGTAGACAGGAAGATTTTTAATAGTTAATTCCATTTTAAAAAACAATTATAAGACTATTTTCATTTTTTATTTCTATTTGAGTCACTTTGTAACATATTAGTAGGAATTTGTCAGTTTCGTTTAAAATTTCAAAGTATTGGCACAAAGTTTGTAATATTTTATCTCTAGTATGTGTGCTAATGTCTCTTTTTTCATTCCTACTCTCATGTATTTGTGGTTTTTTTCTCTGTTTTTTCTTAGAAAAATCTTGCCATAAGTTTGTCTAATCTATTGGACTTTCATAGGACCAACTTTGGGTTTTGATGATTCTTTTATTGTATGTGTTGTAGTTTTAAATTTTACTTATTTCCACCGTTGTCTTTATTATTTCTTTTGTTATAGTTTCTTTGACCTTATTTGGATACTCTTTTTCTAACTTCCTTAAAGATATGGTTAGCTCACTCATTTCAGGTTCTTTTCCCTAACAGAAGCACTCAAGGCTATTAATTTCTCTAAGCACTACCTGAGCAGTGTCTAGGTTTTGTTACGTCACTTTTTTTATTGTTTAGTCCTAAATATTTTCTAAGTTCTGTTATGATTTCTTTGAGAAGTATACTTTCTTAAAATCCAACTGTGTGGGGGTTTTCTAGTTGCCTTTCGCTACTAACTTCTAGGTTAATTTCATTTTGCTCTGAAAATGGTCTGAATTATTCAGTTTTTTTTTTTCAAATTTGTTAAGACAGTCATTATCTAGCATATGATCATCTCTTTATTCATTAAAGTAAGTTCGAAAACAACATGTATTATGCTTGTTTGGTGCAGAGTTTATAGTGAGTGACTGACTGTAAGTCCATTAGGTCAAGTTAATTATATCGTTCAAATCTTTTATAATCTACTTCTTCAAAATTATACATTTCACGTGGAAATTAAATTTTATTCTTATGTAATAACTGTCCTTATTCCTAATAATTCTGTTTGCTCTCAAGTCTCTTTTATGTGCTAGTATCATCTTTCGATATCTTTTGCTAGACATGTGCCAGGTATAACTTTTCGCATCCTTTTACTTTCAACCTGTGTCCTTAGGTTTTCATTATGTTTCTTGTAAATTTTAAGCCGGATTTTTAAAATCTGACCTGAGAACCTGTCTTAAATGTATTATCATAATATTATCATCATTATAACTAGCCATTTATTATAATTCAAATTGATTTATATTGTTATAGTTTTAAAAATTATCATTACTGTGATATTTAGACTTTTTCTACTATTTTATTTTGTGCTATTTATCACATTTTTAAAAATTCAACTTTATTCACGTATTTCACTCTAGCCACCCTTTCTACCCATTCTCATCTGCCTTTTGTGTGTCTTTTTACTAGTATATGTTCTTGAAAGTAGGTATTGTCTTTTTTAAAAATTTACTTAAATGGTGTTATGAACAACGTTTTACCCGTCTCTTCTGAACCCTGTGATGGGCACCTAGGCTGCATTCGGATCTCTGCCTGACATGTAATGCTGCAGTAAATACCTTAGATGTTTCCCCAGTGGAACTGGGTAGGAATTTCTTTACATCCAGGATACAGCTGTTGGGTCAAAGGTTATGTATATCCTGATCAGAAGAAGTGTGTTG